TTGTCGTTGCTCAGGTCAAAACGTGGTTTCAGAATCGCAGAGCCAAATGGAGGCGGCTAAAGCAGGTATGGGGGTGCTTCCGTTTCTATAGAAATGAGGATTTTAATTGGCTTATCTTACGCCGTGCTCGCCTATTCCAGGTTGTGTGCAGAAGTCATCTGAAAGGCTGTTTAACCTCTTCACCTTGATTAAAAAGGCAAATAGTCATGCTGGAATCCATGAGGGCTCGTTCAGGCAGCACTAACGTTAAAAGCTCCTAATGTAGTTCCTATATCAATTATGCCCGGCTTTCACACACCGCCTATTAAAACTCCACTCTAATTGTTTTGTAAACCCATATGTTGTTTAGCCAATTAACATGGAGAAGATAAGTAATTGTCAGTAAATTACTTAGGCAGTTGTTTTGGAGAAGAATGCTTACGGCTCTTTCAAATCGCCCTCTCTTAATAAACACCAGCCGATTTATTCCACAAACGTTGGGAGAGGCAGGTACAAGCGCAGTGTTTGTTTTGAGGAGCTGCATGGAAAATCGCGTAGCTTTTACTTTTAATTTACAAGTAGTTACAGTGTATGAGACTGAGAGGTTGAAGCGGTTTCTCTTCCCTTAGAAACTGTGCTCAGGCAGAGAGATCTTTTATTTTTTTCCGGGCCCAGAGGGCCCGATCCTCCCCGGCTCGGCTAGGTCGAGGCCCTTTGGCTCAAAGATTAGCGACAAATCCCTGCGTTGTGGCCCGAGCCCAGCTTCAGTAAGTGTAACACGGACAGCCGAGTTTTACTGGTAAATCAGCCTTTAATATAAAAATGATAAGAAAACTAATGACAGTGCGACGCTCTAGATATATTTGTTCTGTGGCCTTCCCCTGGGTTCAACCCGTACTTTGGCTGGCTTTTTAATAAAAAGCCGTTGAGCTGGGAAGAGGCAGGTTGGGCCCCAGAGCTGCCGCCTCGGCAGGGCCCGACCCACGCCGCAGGGTCCAGAGAGCTCGCTTGGGATCTCGGCCATTTTAAGTCATTTCCTCCTTTTCATTCAGTCGCATCCATTTCTCCGAGCCCGCACGGTTATATCATGGGTACGTGTCTCTGCCTGCTTTCTCTGAAGAATATCGTTTCATGCCCCCTTAGGGGCCTGGGCTCCCCTGACGGCTGCCGACGCAGGGCTTCTCCTGCCTTCGGAAACAGGGTTTTGTTTTTGGTTTGTTTTGGTGAGTGTTTTAATCTTGAGTTTTAGCTTGAATAGTAATTTTTCCCCGTTTGCTTTCTCGCCACTGATGGATTCGGCCTCCCTCCTTTTGCTGTTGGGTGTAATTAAAGAAAGATCAGGGCGGGAGGAAGCTGCGTGTCAGTGTTTGTAGACTCATAATAAACATTTGCTTTGCTAAAGACAAAAGTTCAGAGGTTCCTGGGCTCCGGCAGCTCCTGGCTCTTTTGAAGTGGCTGCGATAACCATCGCCAAGGAGCCTTATTCACAGCCCCGGCCCCTGTGGCTGCTGGGGAGTGGGGTGGCGGAGCCCCTGCGTGCGGCTGAGCCCTCGCCCGGCCCCGGCCCACTCAGGCGGGTTGATAGGCAGGAGGCCTGTGGAGGTAGCGGGACACCTGCCCTTCCCAGCAAGAAACCCAGGGTGGCTTTCCCACCCAGCACGGCTGGGATTCCCAGGCCTCCTGGCTCTGTGGCCCGTATTTCTGTGTAAAGCTGGCTTCTTTCCTTGCAGGAGAACCCCCAGGCCACCAAAAAAGAAGTGGAAGGTGCCGACAGTCACAGTGACCAAAGGCCGGAGAGTTGCCCGACCCCGGAGCAGAAGGGTAAGGAGGTCTCCCTGGACGGCTCACAGTACACCCCCTCGCCGGCCTCACAGGAGGACCTGGAGTCAGATGTCTCCGACGACTCTGATCAAGAAGTGGACATTGAAGGCGATAAAGGCTATTACAATCCCACCCACTAACGGCCCCATGCAGAGAGTGGACCCTGACTCGGCTTGCACTTTACCGGGGGCTGGTCTGGAAGAATATTATGCTACAGGAGAAAACTTTCACCGTTCCACTGGAAGAAAAAAACCCAACACCAAATAGACTTATTTTATAGTAAGCAGAGAAAGAAAGATGTATTCTCCTCAAACAGTCCATTTTTGGCAGATCTCTAATTTGTTTAAAGGAACATGGTTTGTATTTAATTATTTGTAAGATATATTTGTACATTAATCGACGTTCTAACTGGGATATAATACTGTGCCCTGTCCTTACTCACGGGGGTGGTTCTGAATCAGCTGCTGTTGGCGATCAGGCAAAACTCCTCTCTAGCTAGTGTGGAAGTGGGTACGGATTGCAGGGCTAAGCCCTTTCTATGTGTAAACAAATGTAGTTTAAGTAGATTAATTTAAATGCCCTTTGCAAGCAGAGAAACATGTTCTGTGAAATAGGGAGGGATCTGGCCATCCTGACAAGTGCCTTATGCTCACAACGTTTTACCTGCCATGGTGCTCTCCCCGAGACATCCCTCTGTTCGCCAGGCGGAGTCTTTGGACAGATTCATTTTTGCTCTCGTGTGAGATGAAATGTGCCTTCTCAGATTTTTGAGGACTTTGCCCTGCAATCTGGATGGTTCCATTTGCAGGAAAAAAATATGTATTTTTCTCCTTGAAGATCTCTAGTGCTGTTTTTTACAGATTTTATATTTGAGAAGAAAATGCGGGGAGTGATAGGGCCCTGCTGCAGGAGAGAAACCGGCATCAGCTGTGGGGGCCAAGTGAGGCACACAGCCGTGGGAAGATAATGCCTACTGTATACATATCTGCTTCTGTACATACGAGTTTTCTTTAAAAGCCTGGCGGTTTTAAACCTCACGTTGTTCATATTTTGTACATATTTGTTCAATGTTTAAAAAAAAAAAAAACAGAGGGCGAAAC